AGCTGGAGAAATGGACAGAAGCAGAAGGCATGGTCGTGTTTCCTTGCCTCGAGGAGTTGCATATTGAGCATTGCCCCGAGCTCAAAACATGGTGGCAAGATGGATCTGCATATCCAAAACTCTCTATGCTAGGCATACAATCATGTCCGAACTTGCAGGCTATCCCAATTGGGCTGTCGAACTTAACATCTCTTGATATAAACAATTGTCCCAAATTAATGGAGTATGCTCAAGAAGGCAGCCACAAATGGTCATCCATTCGCCACGCTCATAGGATCAGAATCAATGGGCAGATTGTGCTATCCCGAAGATCTTGATTTTTCAAAGGTATGTCAAATCTATATTTCTCAATGCGATCCCTTCATACCATATTTTATTTATCTAAATTAGGCTGGTGGTTGAACAGTTGCATTTGTTTTATGATCTTAATAACTGGTTGAATCCCTTTATCCCATAGATTTTGAGCCAGATAATAATCTAATTCTTTACATTCATTTTATGATCTCAATATCTGGCTAAATCACTATTTTAGTACATCTATCGTTTCAATACCTTCTTGTCCATCTGATCATATATTATCTTTCTCTAGTGCCCTTTTTGAGACAATAGTGGATAAGGAAGATACAGAGGATTGAAGAAAGGAATATATGCCATACGAACTTTATTTTACTGAGGTAATTAATCTTTTGTTGATTGCTCTATTCTTGATTAATCTACGGCGAATTTCTTACCCTCTGTTTAAAGCAACAGCAAGTTATATGTACTATACTTCTATCATATATTTGCTTTATATTGACTGATGGTTAAGTTACTAGCCAAAATGTCTTTAAAACTCTACTAGGAAAGTTAAAGTGATGTTTTGCGACGTAATGACATAATTGCAAGCAATTTCGTCTTTTATTGAAGTTTAATTTCTGATTATATAGAGATCAGTGTATTGCACTGTCTCATTCATCTTATTGCTAATTTTGCTTCAGACAAAGAAGAAAAGAAGTCTCTTCCTATCAACTTCTGCTTCTCATTGGCCTTAGGAACGATCAAAATATTCAACTTTGATGGAATGGAAGGTTTGTTAGAATTGGTTGAGAGACCTCTTCTTCTCCAGGAGCTGAGAACTGGGTTTTGCACTAATTTGATGCGTCTACTTCTGCCGGCCCATGCACCCAATGCCTCTACAACAAACTAACAATCAAGGGCCTAGGTTCATGATTCTTATGATCGTTCCAATCAGAGGAAAGATGCACGTGAGGGAGCATTGGTGAATGGTCCAATGTTTTCCTGAATCCAAGAATGACTGGTCTTGAGAAGGTATGTGTGGTCTATCAAACATCTATCACTTCTTTTAATGTATGTTACCCAGTCGAAAGTTGTTTCACAATATCCCCAGTTGTGTGTGTACTCAGGTGCATGTCGTCCCTAATTGAAGCGTCAGGGCATGAACTTACTGATGATGGAGATCTCTTCTAGCATCTGGTTGTAGAAGTAAAATCAAATATATATTTATATATATCCGAGCAAAATGTTCCCACCCTGCCATTCTATGATTTTATCGGAGTTCATAAATAAAACTGGTGAGTTCTCAAATCGTCATGAGTTTTTCTTAATGACAAACCTTTTGGGTTCCAATTGCATAGCTCCTGATTTAGTATGTTTGGTT